TTAGCTTAAAAAAGTTTGTTAACAACAAAAACAGATGTTCATATGAATGAAACTCATAAAAAAGGTGAAAAACATTGTCCAGCGAATAACAAACCAATAAAGTTAAAGTCTTACATAGTCCACTGAACAAACCCTCCCTCCCAATCTATTGTTGGTTATCAAAGTATTTAATATATAAAAGTAAAACAACAACAACAACAATCAAACCTTATTCTATTAAGTGGAATAACCTTCATGAATTAACTTTGTTTTATTTACCCATGCAAGCCCTTATTCAATGTGTGTTTTTGAGTTCAAACATTGAATAAACTGTTTGCAACTACTTAACTGCAAGATATTTGAAGAATAAATTATTAAAATAATTCATAATAATACACAACCATAACTTAAATTTGAATAATATCACAATATGAATTTCTCTTTATGCAACTGAAAAATAAATAATTCAGTTGAAACCCTGAAGATTCAATTAAATTACGATTATTTCACTATCTACCAATTCAACTCAAATGCATTTTTATGAATTTCATAAAATATAAACTCTAATTCCCAATTCCATAATTCCCGCATAAGAATTGAATCAACTTCAACTTAAAATACAAACCACAATCCCCAAATCACATACCAGCTTCAAATTAAAATACAAACCCTAATCACCAAATCAACTTCAACTAAACATACAAAATTAATACGTAATTCGATAAATTATTGCATAATAACTAAAATAAACTTTATTTTGAAAAAATATAAATATTGAGATGAATACGAACAACTACCTGTGAAAAAAGAAGGTATCATTCCACTGTGAATATGGGTGAGACAATAGCACAACGAAGATGGAAATTTTTCGATACCCTTGAATGAGGATGAATATGATGGATAATAGTTAGTTGATAACAAAGTGAAGGATGAACTGAAACAAATACGAATTCGGTCTGTACCACTGAAGGATGATGGATGATCAGAAGAAGAAGATGAAGGCGGTCTCTCGAAAGGTGGGTTTGAGATTTAGGGATTTCAATTCAGAAATGATTTTGTCAAATAAAAATTGTTTTCAATTTAATATTAATTTTATGAAGGACTGATATGCAATAAATAGAAGTTTCATATAAAATAATGACGTGGCAGTTAGGGTTTATAGTAATGTGTTTTGATTGGTCAATTAAAGTGACTATATCAAAAAAGTTAATATGTCAACTTCACCTTAGAGCACCTTCAACGGAGGTTTCTTTGCATTGGCTTGCCAGCATGGAATTTAATGCAACATTGTTTTCCAAAAGAAATGTCATTGGAGTTGAACAGGTTGGTGGACTGTTGCATCACAATGCAACGTTGCTTTGATTAAAATAATAATAAATATAATAACCAATTAATTTTATAGGCTTTATTTCATATTCTTTTTTTTATGTTGTTTTAATGATTCTTTTGTTTTTAAATTATGATAATTTAAATTTTTATATTTAAATATTTAAATTTAATTTATTTTAAGTTTTAAAAAAATATATGAATATTATATTAATATACAACAACAACTACACCTTATCCCACTAGGTGGGGTCGGCTATATGGATCTAATATTCTATCAAGGACCATGCTTCAATCCAAATCATTAATTTCGAAATCCTTCTTGATAACTTATCTTATAGTCTTTTTGGGTTTTCCTCTTCCTCAAATTGTTTGTCTTCTCTCCATCTGGTCTACTCTCTTTACTACAGAGTCTACAGGTCTTCTCTCTACATGTCCATACCACCTAAGTCTATTTTCCATCATCTTCTTTACAGTAGGTGCTACTCCAACACTCTTTCTAATAATTTCATTTCTAATTTTATCCTGTTGAGTCTTACCACACATCCACTGCAACATCCTCATCTCTGCTACATGTTCTTTATTCTCGCGTTGGTTCTTAACCGCCTAACATTATGTTTCTTACAAAATCGCAGTTCTTACCGCAGTTCGATAAAACTTTCCCTTTAACTTGAGCAGTACCTTTGCATCACATAAAATACCTGACGCCTTTCTCCATTTCATCCATCCAGCTTGAATACGATGATTTACATCCCCTTCTATTTCTCCGTCATTCTGTATTACTGACTCAAGATATTTAAAATGTGTGACTTTAGGGATAATATAGTCTCCTACTTTCACCTCTAAGTTAGAAACCCTGCTTCTTTTGTTGAACTTACATTCCATATACTCCGACTTACTTCTGCTTAGGCGAAAGCCATGTGTTTCTAAAGCCCTTCTCCGGGTTTCCCACTTCTCATTTAACTCCTTCCTCGACTCTCCAAGGAGGACTATATCATCTGCAAAAAGCATGCATGTCGGAGCTATCTCTTGGATTTGTTTCGTGAGTACATCCAAAATTAAGATAAAAACGTAGGGGCTTAGGGTTGACCCCTGATGCAAACCAATTGTGATGGGAAAATTATATGTCTCTCCACCCTATGTCCTAACACTAGCCGATACCCTTTCATACATATCTTAGATAGCTCGAATATTTGCAACCCTAACCCCTTTCTTCTCAAGTGCTTTCCACATAATCTCTCTAGGCACTCTATCACACGCCTTCTCCAAGTCAATAAAAATCAAGTGCAAATCTTGTTGGTCCATTCAATATTGCTTCATCACCCTCCATAATAGATAAATCGCTTCCATGGTCGACCTTCTCGACATAAAACCAAATTGATTCAGTAACTTGATTCTCTTTTATTAATATCCGTTCAATCACTTTTTCTCATAATTTCAGGGTATGACTCATAAGCTTGACTCCCCTATAATATGTACAATTTTGTATATCCCCTTTGTTCTTATAGATAAGAACTAAAGTGCTTCTCCTTCATTCATCCGACATGCGTTTTGACCTCATAATTTTATTAAAGATTTTGGTGAGCCACTCAATACCTCTATCTCTAAGAATTTTCCACACTTCAATAGGTATGTTGTTTGGCTCCATCGCCTTACCATTACTCATTCTTTTCAATGCTTCCTTTACCTCTTGTTTCTAAATTCGACGATAGCAACTATAGTTCTAATCCTCTTCTCTTATGTCTAGTCTGCTAGAGTCATACCCATATCCATCATTAAATAAGCTATGGAAATACGTCTTCCACCTATCATTTATAACTTTTTCCTGCACTAAGACTTTGCTTTCTTCATCCTTAACACACTTTACTTGATCAAAATCTCTAGTATTTCTTTCTCTTCCCTTAGTAGGCCTATATATAAACCTTTCTCTCTCTTTAGTTCCTAGAGATTTGTATAGTCCATCAAAAGCTTGGGTTCTTGCTTCACTCACCACCTTTTTTATTTCATTTTTAGCTATCTTGTACTTTTCCCAAGTTTCAGAATTTCTACACCTAGACCACTCTTTAAAACAGTCCTTTTTTTACTTTAACTCTACTCTGGACCCTTTCATTCCACAACCACGATTCTTTACCTCTAGGTCCAAAACTTCTAGATTCACCCAACGTCTCTTTAGCCACTTTTCTAGTCTCTAGTGTACAAACCATCCCCCCATATCTTTTGTTGGAAAATTCCTTGTTTCCCACCCTTCAAATGCCACCATTTGATCCTTGGTGCTACCATATAACTTCTTCTCTTTGCACTTTCTTTGATTCTTACCTCCATAACCAAAACTTTATATTGGGTAGTCAAGCTCTCTCCCGGGATAACTTTACAATTCAAGCAATACTTCCTATCAGACTTCCTGATAAGAAATAAATTTATATGAGAACATGTCCCTCCACTTTTATATGTGATAAGATGTCCATCTCTTTTTCTAAACTATGTATTGGCTATAGAAAGATCTAAAGCCGACGAAAACTCCAAGATGGATTTACCCTCCACATTCACCTCCCCTAGACCAAGACCCCCATGCACACTCTCAAAACCTCTTGCCACTCTACCTACATGTCCATTGAGATCCCCTCTTAGGAAAATCTTCTCTCCTTGGGGTATATCCTAAAATACCCCTTCTAAATCCTCTCAAAATTTTACCTTAAAGTGTTTTGCTAACCCAACATGTGGTGCATACCCACTAATAACATTAAAGTGTCTTGCCCCACTATACATTTCAAGGCTATGATTCGATCTCCTACTCTTCTTACATCCACCACCTCCTTCTTCCACTCCTTATCCACAATAATCCCAATCCCATTTCTTGATCTCATTTTTCCAGCGTACCAAAGCTTAAATCCCGAGTTGTCTAATTCTTTCACTTTTTCACCTGTCCACTTAGTTTCTTGTAGGCACATAAAATTGATCTTCCTCCTAACCATAACATCCACTATTTCCATAGATTTTTCGGTAAGTGTGCCTATATTCCATGATCCAAAGCGAATCCTCCTATCATGAACTTGCTTCTTTGCCCACGCCCGTTCACGAAAATGTGGGAACCCTTGCTTATTTTTTACTACATCCAGACGACGATGCAGCGGCCCTTGCTCTTTTGACAATGTACTCGAGCCATACAATGCGTTGCTTACAGACAACGACCTAACATTCACATTATTACGTAGTTGATCTATGTCATAGAGATTCGTCAAAATTTTAGGTTGGTTGTCGAAAGCCTATTACAACTCCAATTTAAATTCTTTAAAGTTGCACCATTTAAATGAAAATTAGATGAATTATTTTAAAATGATGTGGTTTAATGAATCCCACAAATAACTCAAATATGCGTTGCTTACAGACAACACCTAACATTCACATTATTACGTAGTTGATCTATGTCACAGAGATTCGTCAAAATTTTAGGTTGGTTGTCGAAAGCCTATTACAACTCCAATTTAAATTCTTTAAAGTTGCACCATTTAAATGAAAATTAGATGAATTATTTTAAAATGATGTGGTTTAATGAATCCCATAAATAACTCAAATATGAATAACACCATTGAAAGATGCTTTTAGAAGCTCCCTCCAAATAAAAAGACTACCCTTCAAGTGAAACTCACTCCACTCACTCACACCATTTGTGTTGTATTTGAAACCAAATGAAGAAGATGGAAGAAACAACCACAGCAATAGTAATGTATCCATCACCAGGGATAGGTCACATAATTTCAATGGTAGAATTAGCCAAACTTGTCATTCATCATCATCAAAACTTCTCCATCACAATCCTTCTTACTACTGGCTTTTTTGACAATCCATCCATTGATTCTTACATTAACAGAATCTCAACCTCCCATCCTTCAATCACCTTCCACCGTTTCCCCACCGTCACCGTTACTCACTCCGACAAACAAACCATGGCCGCCACGGCCTTCCACTTCATCAAATCTAACTCCGTCAACGTCGACTCCAAACTCCGTCAAATCTCTCAAACCGCCGTTATCAAATCCTTCATCATCGATCTCTTCTGCACTTCCGCTATGGAAATTGCTTCCCAATTCGGAATTCCGGTTTACTATTTCTTCACTTCCGGTGCTGCTATGCTTTCTCTGTATTCCTATTTCCCCAAGATTCATGCTGAAACGACGGTGTCGTTTAGGGATATGGTTGGAGTTGAGATTGTTGCGCCGGGAAATGCGGCGTTGAGTGCAGTGTTGATGCCGGAACCGGTGCTTGATAGGGAAGATCCTGCTTATTGGGAGATGTTGTATTTCTGTGAGCATCTTTCCACGGCGAAGGGAGTTCTGGTGAATACGTTCCGTGAACTGGAAGTTGCGGCAGTTAAGGCTGTTGAGGATGGTGCGTGTTTTCCGGATCGGGAACCAAGTCCTCCTCCTGTTTTCTGTATCGGACCGTTGATTGCTGATGCTCAACAACAAGGTCAGTTGACTCAACTGCTACTGTGATTTTCTGGTATGGATTATTATAACATTAGAATTTGCATTAAAAAAATGTGAATAATGAATCTTTAGAATGTGCTTCTAAATTTGGAAACTTTCAAAGTTCAACTACCAAGACATGAATGGACACTGACTAGAGTGATATATAGATCTAAATAGGATAAATGAGAAAAACCCAACCATTGTTTACACTTGTGTTGTTAGTTTGGTCATCCCAAAATCACTTTGTTATCAATGCAGTGAAAGTACAGCTTAGCCTTACAATGGAATCTGTTAAATACCCTTTAAGCCTTGAAATCTATTTGTTTGTCTGATCCGTCTGTAATTTCAACTTATAGCATCTCTTGTGCTGCTCTTGTCTTGTTTTTCATAATTATGATGACGTTAAATGAAACAATGATTGTTTGCATGAAAATCAGAGGAAGCAACGGGCAGCGAAGATTGCTTATCATGGCTAGATAAACAACCAAGTAGAAGCGTTGTTTACTTGTGTTTTGGAAGCCGTGGATCGTTCTCTGTGGCACAATTGAAGGAAATAGCTGAAGGGTTAGAGAGGACTGGACACAAATTCTTATGGGTTGTGAAGAGGCCAATACAAGAACATCTTGGAAAGAATCAAGTTCATGGTACAGCAGGGGAGTTTGAGTTGGGTTCTGTTTTGCCAAGTGGGTTTATAGAGAGAACAAAAGAGAGGGGCCTGGTGGTAAGGTCATGGGCTCCACAAGTCGAGGTGCTGAGCCACGAATCAGTCGGTGGGTTTGTAAGTCACTGCGGATGGAACTCGGTGCTGGAAGGGGTGGTGGCTGGAGTGCCAATGATTGCATGGCCATTATATGCAGAGCAGCATGTTAATAGGAATGTGATGGTGGAGGACATGAAGGTTGCTGTCGCGGTGGAGCAAAGGGAAGGAAATGGGTTTGTGAGTGGAGAAGAAGTGGAGAAGAAGATAAGAGAGTTGATGCAGTCTGAGAGAGGGACAGAGATAAGAGAAATGAGTTTGAAATTCAAAGACATGGCTAGGGATGCACTTGGAGAATTTGGGTCATCCACGAAAGCACTTTCCAATTTGGTTCAAACATGGAACAATAACTAGTTCCATAGTGATAACTGATAAGTTGTAAGTACTATTATTGATTAATAGTGTAAATGTGTAATGGAACTGGATATCTTCTGCTGCAAGGTAAAATTTGCATTTTTGTTGTAGCTGCTGCGTTGCATTATTTTGCTTCTATATTATATTAGAAATAATAATACAAATGTCGACTCCAATGTCCAAACTGTTCCAGCACCATTTGTCCCTGCTGTTTTATCGTCATTCATTTTAGGTCCTTTTATGTTCTATTACTCAGTGCCAACTAGTTCTTGCCAAGGTTGTCAAGACTCAAGACCTTGATCTAGATCTTAAAATCTTACGATTTTGCGATCTCACCCATCTCCAACGATCCCGATCTTAAGTAGAATCGTGTGTTGTAGCCAAATTGTGAAAAAATCCGTAAAACCATTGATTATGTGTGATCTTGGCCAATTCCGGCCATGATCGTTTATTTTCCAGCCACTCTCATTACAAGTCCAGAAGGATGATAAGATGCCGAGGTGCTACAATTTTGGTTTGACAGAGGTCATTTTCCCTATAATACACCTGCCTACCAATATATCATGTTAAAAATTTCAAAATTTCAAATATATTGTATTATTTTTGTTTTAGTAATATCTTATGATTTTTGTTACGATCTTGATTTTTGTTATGATCTTATGTTTTATGATCTTGCTGTCTCCTCTCGATCCTACAAAAATAATTGGGTAGAATCTTCCGATCATAGTAAAGATCTTAGGTTTCACAGTCTTACTATCCCCTATTGATCTTATGCAACCTTGATTATTGCAACTGATTTTAATGAAGAAAATATAGACTCCAAACTGTTCACTCACGCTACTCATTAATCAGTATTGGTCTGACTTCTGATAGAGGTTGTTCAATTTCAAAGTGCACTGTGAATCCCCTGTCCCTGTCTACTTCATTAGTCTTAACATAAGATTGGCTTATGGAAAAAGCTTACAACATATCTGTAAGTTGTTTAATTCATTTTCATAAATTTTTCATCATAGCTTATGAGAACAGCTTGAAAAAAAACAATTTGACTTTATTTTATCTATTTGATTAACGAAATAGTTTATACTTATGCACTTATGTGATAAGCATTTAATTAAATTGTTTATCCAAACAGGATTTTGGACTTATTTTGGATGAGCTTTTAGCCTTTGAAAGCTTCTCAATAAGGTATCTGAATCCTGCTAGAAATGCTCATAGATCTTAATTAAAGTTTTTAATTTATTCTCTCTATCCCACAATGAGGTAGTACATAAATATTTCATAAAGTGTCTGCATCACTCTCAAGTCAACGTATTTAACTTTGCATTTATTGTCATGGTGTACACAATACAATATAATTGATAAGTTTGGTTTAGTAAAATTATACTATTATCTTTCTTTCATTTAGAATATTCCTTTAATATATCCACTCTCTACTTCAGGCCGGCAGTGGGTAAGTTACATCACTCTTCAACACACTTTTATTACTATATATAGTTAGTTATATATAATATATAGTATAATAACTATCCACCAGATCATAACTACTGCATTCCACTTACTCAGACCATTTGTGTTGTGCTAGTGACCAAATTAACTTACCATAGAAGATGGAAGAAACAACAACTACAATAGTGATGTATCCAGCACCAGGCATAGGTCACATAATTTCAATGGTAGAATTTGCCAAAATTCTCATTCATCATCATCAACAACAAAACTTCTCCATCACAATCCTTCTCACCACTGGCTTCTTCGACAATCCATCCATTGATTCTTACGTAAACCGCATCTCAACCTCTCACCCTTCAGTCACCTTCCACCGTTTCCCTTCTGTCACTGCACTCATTCAATCTAATACACAAAGCTTAGCTGCAACCGGGTTCAAATTCCTCAAATCAAACAACGTCAACGTCGAATCTAAACTCCGTCAAATCTCTGAAACCTCCATTATCAAATCCTTTATCATCGACCTTTTTTGCACTTCTGCACTGGAAATAGCTTCCACCATGGAAATTCCTGTTTACTACTTCTTCACTTCTGGAGCAGCAGTTCTTGCTCTGTATTCTTACTTGCCGAAGATTCACACTGAAACAACGGTCTCGTTTATTGAAATGGTTGGAATTGAAATTGTGGCTCCGGGAAATGCGCCTTTGAATGCGGTGCTGATGCCGGAAATGGTGCTTGATAGGGAAGATCATGCTTATTGGGAGATGTTGTATATGTGTGAGCATATTTCACAGGCGAAGGGAATCGTGGTGAATACGTTTCTTGAACTTGAAACTATAGCGGTAATGGCCATTAAAGATGGTGCGTGTTTTCCAGATCTTGGAAGAAGTCCTCCTCCCATTTACTGTATCGGACCATTGATTGCTGACCCTCAACAACCAGGTCAGTTGACTGCTACTATCAGTTTATCAAATTTATCAGTAGCAAAACAAATAAATATTATGTTTCAGTTGGTTTTGTTAATACTTGTGTCAATTTGATCATCTTGAAATCATTTTATTTTCTATGCAATGAAAGTAGTCTCATATATCTTATATGCAATCTATTTATTTATCTGTAATTTAAACTCAGCACTTTTTGTGCTGCTCTTATTTTGTTCTTTATAATTATAATAAAGTTGTGTCTATGAACAAATGAAACCTTGATTGTTTGAATGAAAATCAGATGAAGCACGGGACATCAAAGATTGCTTGTCATGGCTAGATGAACAACCGAGTAGAACCGTAGTTTACTTGTGTTTTGGGAGCCGTGGGTCGTTCTCGATGGCACAGTTGAAGGAAATAGCTGAAGGGTTAGAGAGGAGTGGACACAGATTCTTATGGGTTGTGAAGAGGCCAATACAAGAATATCTTGGAATGAATCAAGTTCATGGTACAACAGGGGAGTTTGAGTTGAGTTCTGTTTTGCCAAGTGGGTTTATAGAGAGAACTAAAGAGAGGGGCCTGGTGGTAAAGTCATGGGCTCCACAAGTGGAGGTGCTGAGCCACGAATCAGTCGGTGGGTTTGTGAGTCACTGCGGCTGGAACTCGGTGCTGGAGGCGGTGGTTGCTGGAGTACCAATGATTGCATGGCCATTGTATGCAGAGCAACATGTTAATAGGAATCTGATGGTGGCGGACATGAAGGTGGCTGTCGCGGTGGAGCAAAGGGAAGGAGATATGTTTGTGAGTGGAGAAGAAGTGGAGAAGAGGGTGAGAGAGTTGATGGAGTCAGAGAGAGGGAGAGACATAAGGAAGACAAGTTTGAAGTTCAAAGACATGGCTAAGGATGCACTTGGAGAATTTGGGTCATCCACAAAAGCACTTTCCAACTTGGTTCAAACATGGTATGATAACTAGTTTCATTGTGCCAATGTGGAAGGTAAGATTTTCATTTTTAATTGTTGTTGCTTCTAAGTTTTATCTTCCAATAGAAGTCTAGACTTCAAATCCAAACTTATGTAAGTTATGTTAACTGTTTATAGTTTATATGTAAGTAGTTTGATTATATTTTATTTTGTTATAAAAATAATTTATTTTTAAGTATTTAAATAATTGGTATTTATTATATTATAAATTCTTAAGTGAGTTATTTATTCTAAATAGGATTTTGGACCTATTTTGGATCAACTTGTAGTTTTGAATGCTTGTCAATTACTTTAAGGAATTACTCTTTTAGACTCCATATCTTATTCACATATCATGTTAAAATTTCAAAATATTCCATTTGAATTTTGAAATTCGGACGCGTATGTGTCTGAATTTTGAAATTCAAATTAATAATATACAGAAATTGAAATTCGAACATGCCTTAACAAATCACTCCACACTTAATCTTAGAACCAAACAAAATCAAACTTGACGCAGTTGAAAGTCCTAGGGAATAACAAGCGCTAAACCTAGAATGAAAACAGGGTTGCAAACGCAAAATCTGTCAGATATACTCTGGAGTCTACCAGGAATAAAGAAAACTTCAAATTTTATTACACGTGAATCCTTTTCTGGTGAACATTTAGTATTCATCAGAACTACTGATGTTTCTTATAGTCTTTCTGAAGTGTGCCAAACACAATTCTGATGATTCTTCAGATAACAATCCTGAATCAATTAGAATATTTTATCTGTACACTCAAAAAACTGTTAGAGTACAAAATTGTTACATATAAAATATATGTATTGTTATCATCAAAACTAGATATTAATTGTAGAATTCAAATATTGTTCTAAAAGTTATGTTGTGTCTTTTTGAATTTTGGGGTCTAATCTTACACTCAAGGTGTTTGACAAAAAGCCTCAAAAGTGTTGTGTCCTAGAGCAACGTCTTTTGTTTTCCTCTATTCATCTATTAATCTTTGAACAGTTGATAAAAGTGGACAATATTGAGACCAAAGATAGTCGAAATGCACAAACAAAAGTAAAAAAAATCATCTGTAATTGGATTTAAAAAAAGACTGGATTCTCTTTTCTATCTTGCCATTGATTGTGTTCGGAAACGAAGGGATATTTGGATGATTAGTTGTTGCTTCTGTGTCTAGTTTGTTCATGTCTTGTTAGCTTCTGATCATTCTATATGTAAAGTGTTTTATGACTATATAGGTTTTTGTTTTAGATTTGACTCTATACTATGGATATGGGATAGTGTTCAATTTCAAGTGTCTCATGAAATTTATATTGTCTATGTTATCGTAATCTAATGAATGCATTACCTTAAAAATATCAGTAACACTAACTAGTAATGAGTGCAGAAATTGAACATACATGCAATCCTAAATTGAACAAGTATATATATTGATTCTGATTTGTCTATGTTGACACTCAAACTCAAGTAGGAAGTTGTATGTTCTTTTGGACGCATGTGTGTGACATTACCAAGTAACTTGTCTACGCTACTTAGTATGACAAATGGACAAAACTTCATAGGTAACGATCACAAAAAGACAATTTTCTCATAAACAAACCTAAACAAAATAAAATTAAACAGCCCCCAACGTGTAAAATTTTCATCAACAATCATGTTTGAAAATTAAAATACATCATTAATCATGTTTCTAAAAAAATTATAAAAATAACCCGGTTTGAAAAATGGTTTAAGTGGACACCTCATCTTATATTGTGCATGCACCTAAAATTATATCTAGGCGTCATATGAGATGACGTATACATAACCTGTAAATCAGATGAGATGACATATATATAACCTGTAAATCAGTTGAGGCGTATTTAAAATTTGTGAGGAGGCATCATCTCATATGGCGTCTAGGTATAAATATATTTTTTATAATTACATCCCCTATTCCTCCACTATTATTCACACTTTCTCACTTTCTTTTCTTATTTTCTCTCTAAAATTTTCACCTCTAAAATTTTCACCATGACAACGGGTTTTCAGGATTTGGTGACCTGACTGATTTCATGGACTTTGATCGCATTGATCCTGCAGGGCCTTTGATCAACCACAACAGAAACTTCGTAGAGGATGTACTATAAGAGGACGGGGCAATTAGATTATATGTAATTTTTATTCCAACAATGTAATCGTTTTATTAAAATATAAATTTTAATTTTTTCCAGTTTTATTTATAAATTTTGTTATTATTTAAATAGATAAAAATTTAAAAAAATTACAGAATACATCTCGCCGTCATATAAGATGACTTGTCAGGTTTCACATGAATCTAGGTGTCCCATATGGCACATACGTTCAAATTTTGCATGTATGTGTCATCTCATCTGGCGCATCTATTTAAAATAATTTTTAAATTTAGTTATTTGCGTGATTTTTTTAAAAACATGATTATTGATATATTTTAATTTTTAAACATGATTATTGCTAAAAACAAAATCCCCCCAACCTTAAACGCCGTGCATTTGACTTTCTTTTTTTCTTATATCGGTTTATACACAAACGTTTGTTACTCTTATACATAAATGTTTCTTTTTTTCTTTTATCCTTCTATACATAAATGTTCATTACATGTGTGAGAATAAGACGAAATTTATGTTTAACAAATTTATATATTTATTTATGTAATTAATAAATATGCACGCTTAAAATATGATTGATAGACTCTGATAAAATATTAGAGTTTAATCTAATTTATCTTTAAAAAACTTATTTGTAAAGTGAGAGGTGTCAATCTATATAAACTCTTTCAATGTTATATCTCCAATCAATGTGGGACTTAGACTCTACAATATTTATTTATAAACTTTAATTTGAAGTAAAGAAAGTGCACCGGTACTTCAAAATTAAATCAAACAAATCAATTGATGAATTATTATAGAAGAGCGCCTCATCAGGGGAAAGAGGACTCAACATGGTGCAGTATGAATGGATGTCCCTATTGAAGTGAGGTGAAGACCAATACTTCATAATAAATGAACTCCTCCAAAAGCAAAAATACTCTATAGGTGTGTAGCACAAAGTGAAATTGACCTTTGCCGTAAGGGGCTTCACTGACAAAAAGTGCCCTAGAAAATCTCCTCAATTTTGGGTGAAGGGGTCGAACCAAAGATTATTCGAATGGAAACTAATTAGTCATTGGTCGTAGAAGTTGTCCTAAGATGAGTGCTTCATGTGAAACAAATTCAGGACCAATCCAAAAGAATGTTTCCAAGATTTATACTCGACACACAGCTGAAATACCCACTTGACCCAAGACCTTGAATGAAGTTGAGAAGGATAAACTTTTAAATGTTTCAGGACAACCACTTTAAAGTCGGAGAAAGGTATATGAAGTCCTATCCTTGTGAACAGACAATCATAGAGTGCCATCAGACAGTCGTCAAAAGATCTGCATATCCTCTTCTTCAAGCCCACTAGAATAATCGACTATTTCAGAGGATCACAAACCACCATACTTGCAACATCTGTAGCTGCCCTAATCCTCATAACATATGGAGTATCCATTACTTATGCGTCCACCAAGTCGTGTTTCATTGCGTCTGGCTGACCTCGACGATCCAAGTAGACATTCACTTCAGCATCGATAGGTTCACAGTTATTGGTCCTCAGACAAAGTTGGATAAAACTTTTAGAGTTTTCTCTCCTCTACCGATTGGATTGTATTTCCTCCTCGGTTAAGATGACAAGGGGCATAAGGACCTCGACACAATTAACCTCTCTGTCGACATTTGATAAAATGGATTCTAATGAGTCGGATAAAAAAGTTCCTTCTTCCTAGGAATCCCCAAATATCTTTGTTGAGTCAGGATTATCAGATAAATGTATGACTTCTGGTTCCAGGTGGTCATGATCAAGAAGGGAAGATGAGAGTTTAGGGATTTCCCCATTCATGAGGTAGAAAAAATGTTAGTGTTGCTCTCATAATTTCTCACTAGGTTAACTCATCCTTATTAAAAACATGAAATGTTAAAGATAAAAGATGAGTTAAGGACAATACTTGGTTGTGTGAGATTGGTGAAGCAAAGTAAGTTAAGAATGAGCAAAGACTCTGATCAAGACACTATAATAGATTTGATCGATACTCTCATGAAAGAAGAGATGCAAGTGTTTCTCAATAAGTGACTATGAATAAGCTTGAAAGTCAAGGATTGCGAAAAGTTTCCAAAATGCTAAACTCTTATTACTTATAGGCGAAGGCAGCTAAATGATCCAGATCAACTAAGGAAAAAGGTTAAGAGATCAACGATCAAATTTCTCCTTAGGCGTAAATGCAAACTCGAATGCACTCAAATGCACTATAAGCCTTTTCATTCCCTAACTTGTAGCGTCAAAACACATGTCAAAAGAAGGTTATGAAACATTCAATGATGGAATCACATTTAATGGGATTGTTCCTCGCTACATTTTCTACTAACCATAAATGTTTCAATTTTATCTCACACCTTATAACACCATGGAGATCGGTCAAACCACTAAAGCCTTCTCCGACCCACTCAATGCCCGACAAAATCTTGGGGACATCTACTCTAGAGCACCAAAAGCCCAAATAGCTAAGATTCAATTCGCCTCAAATCCATTCCACTTGTCCCAAGATATAAACGTCAATTCACGTGGAAAGCAATGTATATTCTCCGATCTCCACTTTTCATTATACTCATCTTGAATCTTAAACTAACTTGGTCGCCATAGTGTTAACCATGCATGTTCATCTGTGCCACTGTGATAGAGATAAGCATCGTCGATTTACCCATTTCTAATTCCTAAACGAAACAATAATATTCTAAAATAAGTTAAGTAGAAATTGTTATAGTAATCTTACCTCTTGTTTTATATTAAACCAAATAATAATATGAATGGTTGATATTTTTTTATCTCGTATGTTCATCTTAAGATTATTTTGTTTTTTAATTTTAAAAGATATTATGTTGATCCCTTAACTCTTTAAAATATATAATTTTAAAATATATAAAAGTCAGTTCACATGAAAAACAAGATATATTTTCTGATTTTCACTTTTTACTATACTCATCTTGAATCTTGAATTAATTTGAAAGTTAAAGTGATAATTATGCAAGTTCACTCCGCTTTATCGTACGGAGATCAACACCACTAATTCAAGACATCTACTTCATCAACCGCATCCATTTCTAGTTCATGAACGGAACATAAGTAAATTAAATAAAAATTATTTCAATAGTCTTATCTCTAATATTATATTAAACCAAATGATAATAAGAAGGTTTAATATTCTTCTTGTTTCGTAATTTTATGGTTATTTTGATTCTTTAACTTTAAAAAAAAAAAACTATATTGATTTTTTAATTCTTCAAAATATATCATATTAATTATTTTTGTTTAATTATCAAGGAATTAAATCTGAATTTTTTTCAAAACTAGACTAAAGATTAATATAGTATATTTTAAAAAAATTAAGAAATGAATATGATACTTTAATAAAAGTTAGAGGATCAACGTAAACTTTAAAATTAACATACAAAAATAGAAATGGGATTAAATTGAGTATGAGAGACTTAGATTTGCTAGAGATGCCAAAGCATAGAAGACGCCAAGGACAAAAATATCTTTCTTTTTCCTTTGCTTTGGAAATATCACCGCTACATCTTTTTTTAATTTTTGTGTTGTTATGGTAACTAGGAAAGTAGTTTAATAATCTTTTTTACTAGTATTATTAAAAACTTGAAGATATTTAAAGCATTTAAAGTGATCATTTTTTAAAAAAAACCCTTTACTTATGTAACATTAATTACATTTTTTCGTAAATATAAAAGAGTCAAACTTTTTAAATTAAAATTTGAATTTATTTTTTGGGTCAAGTAAAAATAATTATATATAAGAGACCAAAGAGAGTATGAAACATAACTCAAATCAATTCAAAGTAGAGAAGAAAAACAAAAAGAGTATGAATTATCTTAGACTCTTTCTAATTCTATCTCTTTCAATCTCTTTTGCAGCTTCTTCTACTTTACTTGACAAGATTTTCATGCACTGCATGTTAACCAAAGTTCAAACAATGTTTATTAACTCATCTTCCTTATTGTATCCAAAAGTATTGGAATCATTGGAACAAAATCCAAGATGGTTGAGTTCATCAAGCAAGCCTCTTCTCATTGTTAGACCTTCTCATGAATCAGAAATTCAACAAGCTATTCTATGTAGCAAAGAGATTGGTTTGCAAGTTAGAGTTATAAGTGGTGGCCATGATTACGAAGGGTTGTCTTATATTTGTAAGACACCCTTTATTGTAATTGATCTCCTCAACATCCGGTCGATCGATATTGATCTCGCCGATGAATCCGCTTGGGTTCAAGCAGGTGCAACACTAGGTGAATTTTACTATGAAATCTCTAAAATAAGTCGAGTTCATGGATTCCCCGCAGGTAATTAACTAGCTTCATTTATTTAAGTTTATCTTCTAACATAAACACTCGTGAAACTATATGAGAGAGCTAATCAAAATAATATATGAGATATTCAACTGATACTATTGTGTAAGATAAGGCCTTTGAGAACTTTTTTCTTAGCATCTTTGAAACACGTTAGATAAGGTCTTCAAGAATTTCTTTTTTAACATTTAAAACGCTTTTGACAAGGACGCTCTAAAAGGTCTTGCAACTCTATTAAAAGCGTAGTCATAGATAGACATGTAAGTTATGCATAAACACATATATGATAAGCGCTTAACTAAATTGTTTTTCTCGATCAGGGACTTGTCCGAGTGTTGGAATAGGCGGACACATAAGTGGAGGAGGGTTTGGTACTTTGTCTAGGAAACATGGTCTAGCAGCAGATCATGTTATTGATGCATACCTAATAGATGTAAATGGAAAAACTCATGATAGAAAATCAATGGGAGAAGAAGTATTTTGGGCTATAAGAGGAGGAAGTGCTACTAGTTTCGGAATCATTCTTGCATGGAAGATAAAGTTAGTTAAAGTTCCATCTCTTGTTACAGCATTCACGATTGAAACAACATCAGAACAAGAAGCAACCAGACTCATTCATAGATGGCAATACATAGAACACAAACTTCATCAAGATCTTTTCATAAGAGTACTTGCTCAAAACAATGGTCCAAGTTCAAATCCAAATTCAAAAACCATTAAAGCAGTTTTCAACTCTCTATTCCTTGGAGGAAAAGAAAAGCTAATCACTATAATGAATTCGAGTTTCCCCGAGTTAGGATTACGGTTAAAAGACTGCGTTGAAATGAGTTGGATTCAATCAACTTTGTATATCGCAGGATACGAAAAATCAGATCCTTTAGAACTTTTGTTGAACCGAACTACGAATTACAAAAGCTCGTTCAAAGCAAAATCTGATTATGTAAAAAAGCCTATACCAGAAAGAGGTTTCGGCGGTATTTGGCGAATGCTTCGTAAAGAAGACTCGTTCGCATTACTGATATTAGAACCTTATGGAGGAAAAATGAATGAAATATCAGAATCTGAAATCCCTTTTCCACACAGAAAAGGAAACTTATACAATATACAATATATGGTTAAGTGGGATGCGAACGGAATCGAAGAATCCAAGAGACATATAAAGTGGATGAGAAAGCTTTATAGATATATGACTCCTTATGTTTCAAAGTCTCCAAGAACTGCTTATTTCAACTATAAGGATCTCGATTTAGGTAGGAACAAAAATCGAAACATGAGCTACTCAGAAGCAAGTGTTTGGGGGAAAAAGTACTTTAAAGGAAACTTTAGAAGGTTGGCAGAAATTAAGACGAAATTCGATCCACACAACTTTTTCAGGAATGAGCAGAGTATTCCACTTATAGAATAAGCACTTTTCTTGTGGAACAGCTTATCATTCATGAATGAAAAAACTGCAACAAACTGAACTACTACAAGATGTTTAACAGAATCATTCACCATAATTTACACCGGAATCGTCTAAAAGCTATCTTTCTAATACATCAGTATTCTCATGAGGAAATTCTCTTCATAATGTTAAAATAGAAACAACTATAACAAGAATAAAAGAAAAGAACAAAAGATCTGAGATGAACCACTGAATTTGTACATCAACATTTCAATCCGGTGTCTTTCTTTATCTCTCAACTCTTTCTCCTGATAAACCTGCATTTAAGAACGAAATTGTAACCGCTCCTATTTGATTTAGATCGAGATGGATCACTTAATGACAGTCTTGATTTCTTTCGATTCTTTGAAATAGGTGTACCTTTAGTGTAAGAACTTTGAGATACATTACTTGAAACATGGTACAGGACACCTTTCAGCTGTTGAGAACCTAGGTTCACTGTAACTATGTATCCACCGTCAAATTTCTCGTCAATTGTTCCGTGCAATGAAGAACCAATTGACTGTGCTGGACTAACTGTGTATAAGAAGGAAAATAAGTCAATTCAAACAAACCTTAGAACATTTGGGTTATAGTCTTATTGTCGGTAAGCTTCGGCTTGTACCAATTTCAAAGTTGTCAGACTCGCGAGTCTATGTAGACTCCTGAAGGGTCTGTAGTCTCAGACTAGTAGGAAAATAAAAAATTACTTCAAATGACACGTACATAATAGAACACTAATTAACATATAAAACTCCATAATAAACTTGTTACCAAAAATTAAAAAACGAAACACAAATCAGAGGAAGAGACGAGACGAGATAGTTCTTCTTCTCTTTGGTGGAGATTTGTTCCGCTGTTTATCTTTTTGAGTGACTTTTAAAAGGAGAATGAAGAGACGAGTGTTTTAGGTTTTTTTTTTGTCTTCCATTGAGGCTCGGTCTGTTTTTGGCTTCTTTTTTTCAAAAATTTCATTGAACTCGGCAAAGACTTGCGAGTTTACCTGCGATTCATTAGCTCGTTGTGGCCTCCTAGACCCGTAAACTATTCCAATTCTATGAGTGCCCTCACAAGTTTGACATCCAAGGCTTGTACAATTAGTAGTAGCATATGGCATAACATTTAATGAGCCTTATCAATTATGAACCGCTAACACATACAAGATAGAGATTCTCACATGTTGACAATGGTAATAATTTGATCAAAAAATAGACCTATAGTGCATTTCATCCTAAATATAATTAGTGAAATTCTCTACCCCTGTAGTGCTATTGAAACATCACTCTTAGTAATTGTTCTCACAAAGCAAACTAAACATATAAAAAAGCCGACCATACAAAAGAGCCGACCATTCCATCACAACTCACAAGTCAGCAAACATCACGAAAACCATATCATTGATCCATGTCATTTGTCAGAGGAAGAAGACACAAACGATACGCCTACTACTGCTATCATTCTAAGAAGCTAGAGGCATTGCTTTACGTAAAAAGAAACGTAGATACATCATACAGATGAATGTTTGAAGCATCAAAGAATTAATCGGATCTAAATGATTTAGACTTACCCTGAACGGGTGAATCATTGGTAGCAGCACCCTCCTTGTTGGCTGAGACATTATTGGCAAGGCTCCCACTCAGAGCACCTGGATATATAAAATTATTGATTGGTAATCGATAAAAATTTCAAAAGAACGCAGCTATAGGGGGAAAAGGTAGTATCATTACTTACTAGGAGGTGAGGGAGGGGCTTGCTTGCCCAAATAATACGCTTGCTCAAAGTGATAAAGCAATGATAGATAGTACCTGCGCACCATGAATGATGCGCTTGTTATGGTATCCCGGAAGTTGAAGGTCATAATTACTTCCTTCCATTTACGATCTACAATTACCTACATAAATGTAAGAAAAAGCAGTGTTGTCAATAGTGGATTGTAGAAATTTATGGTTTCTTCAATCTCTCCTATGGAACAAAGCTATAACGCCACTATTACCAAAGCCATTATTTGAAGACGTTTTGTACTAAATAGTGTATCGTAAAACAATAAATATTCGTTCAAATTTCGGTACGCTATAGCTTCTATTTGACAAACACCGAGAAAAAACCCGAGGAGTCATTGGAGAAAGGCTGTATTTAAGAGAAATCAATCTAACAAAAATTTCATGATGACTGAGCTGCATCATAGATAAATTTCAAACTCAAAATCTGTTTTAATCAAAATTAAATCTGCTGAAAGCACATACATGCTTTATCTTTGATCCAAACTCAATTCAATTGGAATCATAGCATGAAAAAGTGAGGAGAAAAAGATAGTAAAGAAAACATGTATGTTCCATCTCGTGACACAAGGAGAAATAATGTTTTTCATCAATTAGTTGAGAAATATACAGCGCATACCTTTTCCACACCACCACGAGATGTTACTTCAATAAAAAGGTGATGAAGATCTAGCGGCTTCCCTCCTATAGTAGGAATTCTACACAAATAAAAAAAGGAAAAACATGATTATAAGGATCATACGTTCATGCTAATTGAATCTCGAGTCGTAACAAAACTGAACCCAATAGATATGAATTGCTCTCTGTATCTTCTTTGGAAATGATTCTTTATTCATTAAGATAAATCCCGATTCACTACAATGAGTCCCGAATCACTACAATGAATACCGATTCATTCTAATGAATCACAAAGCAACCTAAGCTTTGTGTAGCCAATCACTTTTCTTGTCATCAGTGTTGCCGATGGCAGAGAGCCAAAATCCCGCCATACCGGCCGCTTTGTGGCACCGTTAAAACAGATTATGGCGGAAAAACCCGCAATAACGGACAATTTTTTTCATTGCGGCTAGCTCAAAAACCGCCATATATATCCGCCAAAGCGGCCATGGCGCTGCTATTTGATAACACTGCTAGTCATATGATTTTATCACCTAAAAATCTTGAATTTTATCGACCTATACTTATTTAGTACTTAAAACTATTATAATTTTATCAATCATGTATATAGCATTTATATACGACTCGATTCACAATCTGAAAAATAGGTTTCCGACTCTATCTGAATCTCGATTAGTTAAAAATAGGAAAAAGTAATGACAATTCTGATTCTATTGTCAATTTTCCCAATCAACAACACTTCATACTACTACACTAAACCTAATATACACCATAACCTAAATTAAACTAAATTAATATTAAAAAAATCAAACTTTAAATACTATATTGCACTATCCAATTTTTCAATAAGCACAAATAAAAAACCAAAATTTATGGAAAAAAAAACGGTAAAAAAACTCAAATTGAAATAGAGAAACATACTAACTTTAATCTGGTACCAAGAGAATCATGAAAAGATTGAAGCTTTTCCCTAAAGAGATTAGCGTCACGAACAAGGTCAGAGTAGAGAGCAGTTGGAGGAGGATAAGGGTTTGTGTTTAGGGTTTTGGGTTCAGTTTCACACTGATTTTGATTTTGATTTTGATTTTGATTCTGATTTTGAATACTTGTCATTTTTTATACCTAAATCAAATTCTCAAATCAAATCAAATCAAAATCACAATATCAACAAATACTCAATTTGTATTTCATAGATATGTGATTTGTTAGAAATTTTTTAGAGTTTTTTTTTTTTATCATATTAAGAAAGTGTTATAGCTTTAGAAAATATTTATTACTTCAAGATTTTTCTATCTATTATTTTTTTTATAACTATAAATGAGTTGGAAAAATATTTAAAAAGCTATGATAATTAACAATAACAACTACATTCATTTTATTTTTTTTCCTTTTTATAAAGAATTAGAGGTGGTATAATATTATGGTTAATATTCATTTTCCTCTATCATATGAGTTGAATTTTCAAAAACGCTCCAAAAAAAAAACACAAATTATTCTATTATATTAATTTAGTCAACCTAATGAAATGACGTAGTGCTGTATATTTGATTTTTTTTATTATTAATTTTATTATTATATAGATTATCCACATTAACTTTCATTTTTAAATTTTAATTTTTTATCTCAATATTGTCTTTTTATTTGTTAATTATTCATAATTTAAATTATTTAAAAATTCAAAAACTGACCTTAGTGGGATTCAAACCCAACACCTGCACCATAATATTGTGGTTTTTTATTTATTTATTCACTAATAAATATTTAACTTAAACATTTTCAGAAGATTTTTTTTTTAACATATACTGTTTCAACATATTATTTCAATAAATATATGTATATTTAATTTGAAATTAATATTACACATTTATATATTTAAACACAAATATATTTATTTAAGTATTTACATTTTTAAAAAATAATGTTCATTAAGTTAAGTATCAAATAATAAAACTTTTTAATATTTATTTAAATTAATATATTTACAACATATATTTTTCAATAATTTTATAATATTGAAATGAGTATATTTATTATGCAGATTTTTCCTACATTTTATATTTTATATGATTGTTATCTTTTGAAGTTCCTATTTCATTTGTGCATTATCGTTGAAGATACTCTTTTGAAATTATGTTGTTATTTTATCTCTCTTGTTTTTGGATTTTTTTGTGCAATGATTGTTTTAGCAAAAATATTGTCAAAGAGGGAGATTGTTAGGTTTTGATTTGTTGGCTATATTTTGGTAAAACAATTAGTTCAACATGATGTTGGACAAGATGTCATGACATGTTGGTCGTTTCCTTGAGGGGGAGCATGATCTTGTGTGACAGGGAGAATAAGTTTTGTGATGTTGACCAATGTTGATCATGTTATTCAGGGAAACACGGTGTTGGTATGTTGAGAGTTTATTTCTCTCTGGTGGGTTATGTGATGTTGTTGTTGTGATGTTAGACTGAATGTCATGACATCTCGTCTTTGGTGGAACTCTGATTTGTTTGTTGGTTTTTCAAATATACATGATATTCATGTATCTTGTATTGTGTGATTGTTTTATTGTTGTATTTGTTTGTATCTCCAACGATATCT